GGGGGGAGGAGGGAGGCAGGGAGGGAGGGATGGAGGCATCCGCGCTCGCATAAACACGGCTCCAGCCTGGCCGCGCACGGCGCGGGGCACCGGCCCCCGAGGAGAGACGCGCAAAACAGCCGCGTGGGAAAACGCCGGCGGCCTCGGCTTTCTCGCTCATCCCCTGTTCTGAGAGAAATACGGGTCAGCAGGGAAATAAGGGAGCACAGAGGAAACCTAACGATTAAAGCCGAGCTGTGTTCCTTGAAAGTGTAGAGCTGAAAGCATTGTATTTTGGAGAAACATCTGGCTTCATGCCATCAGAGGTAGTGAAATAGCTGCTTGGACTCTGTAGACACCCCTGCCCATGAGCACGGTTTCTGAGCCACACATAGTTGTTCCTCAGTAACCGAGAGCGCCTTTCACCACCTGTGGGCAAGATACCACACACCTCGTCCTTGCCAGCCCTACCTCAACCAAAGACATTAAACTAAGAGAAAGCCTAAGGCCTCCCCTGTTACACTCAACCTGAGGCAACAGCTGTACCACAGCATGTACCTTGACACTGGTAGAGTTCCTAAAGTCTGCTCATGGGGTCAGTTAATCAGTGGGACATCAAGCTGGGGCTGGGACTGCAACTGCAGATCAGGCCAAAAAGCCCACATTCTAGCTCAGCATTCCTCCTCTTCCCAGCTTTGCAGACCTCTGAGGTGGTCCTTCAGGCCAAACAGTTCCCGCCGTCCTCTGAAGGTGAGGCTCTCCGTCTCTGGAGGAGGTTCTGCAGTGTCTGGTACGTGATAGCACAGCAAGGGCTGGAAACTGCCTCTGCAACTGGCGGGATCAGTCCAGGATGGTCACAGGTGTTTTGGACTGCTGACAGGCCATGTCCTGCATACTTTGGGAATCCTGGATTAGAGTCCTGGCCTGCCAAAAGATTGAGGCTGCAGCAGATGCTGAATATCATGCCTTCCCTGAGCAAACTGAGGGCACCTCCACTGTGATGGAGCCTCAGCAGCATTGCTGAGGCGGTCTCCTGTCAGAGCTGCAAGGGAGTCATGTACCAGCTTGATGTTTTAGATATTCCTAGCCATGATTGTAAAGCAATTCGTGTCTCCACAGAGGTGGAAATGGTTCATAAGAGGTGAGTGAGGACTGCCAGGGCACTGCAGGGGCCAGCTGCTCCCTAAGGGACAGGGACCTAGGAGCCAAGTGTGATAGCACAGCCATCAGGGCAGGATCTCCCCAGCCAGGACCCTGTCCCACCATACCTGGACAAGGCAAGCAGAGCAGTCTGTGGGCTGTAACCAGGCTCAGCCTCCAGTCCAGATCACGAGACAAGTCAATGGGGATGAGGCTGATTCCAGTTGAAGCCAGGACGTCAAGTCCCCAGATGGGGGTCCAGATGAGTGGGGTACATGGCCAGGTACAGGCATGGCTGCAGTGGAGCTCAGGCAGGAGTGAGGAATGAGCCTCACTTTAAAAGCAGCCACCAAGCAAAGGAGGGGGGAACCTCTACTGAGGGTCTCTCCAGGTCTTTCCTAACAATAGCCCATAACAGTGAGCTGACCTTGAGCAGCCAGCTTCACTCCTAGAAGGTGGGGAGGCTGTGCTACAGGCCCTGACAGGGTCACCACAAGCCATTCTACCATCTCAAACCTTGGCTGTGTCTTGTCTGCATTAGCTAATGCATGATTTGCCCTTTGTCCTGCCCCACTGGGGCTCCCCGAGTATGGTACGCAATTTCCTTCCCCAGCAATCAACCTGGAGTTACACAAGCCCTGCCTCAGCATGACTGGGTCTGCTAAAATAAAAATATAAGCTATCAGATTGTCAATAAATTATTCAAAACTTTATTCTGATTATTTAATTCTCCAGTTCTTCAGGAACTGATTCAAATTTTTCCAGAAACGGGTCCTCCCCATACATCTCTGATTCAGCTCTGCATTATCTGGGTTACATGACCCAAGCTGCTGTAGAACCAAGGCCACCAGGTCTGAAACCCTCTGAAATGTTTGAACTACCTCTGGTACCAGCATCAGTGTGAGGAGATGCACAAAGAACTGCCCAGGGCTCACACAGGGTGTAGGGGGGTACAGGGGCTGCTTCCTCAACTTGAGCCTATGTTCTCACCGCTCTTTGTGCACCACCCTTCCTCCCCTTTTTCCTTCAGATCTAGCTCTGCATCCCTACCCAAGGACAGGTTCAGGGGTGTGGGTTATGACAACATTTTCTAGCTCAAGCAGTACTGCCACAGAACCCAACTTGACAAGCCATCAGAGCTTATCAGCCTGAGGTCCACTCTACGGCATGTGTCACCTCCATCATTTTGTGCCGCTTTGGTGATTTGAAGCAAGCACTGTAGTTCATACAGAGTTAATGCTCTGAGCATGGCCAGGCTGTAGATGTAGAGACATAGTGTCTTGCTGATATATACTGGGGTTTCTTGGTGTTTTCATTGCTTTGCTCCAAACACATCATCACCTGCCCACTGGGGTGTCTTGCTGGCTTTGCAGAGGAATGTCACCCAAGGGTGCCCTGCATATCCTCACCTCCATTTCTCCTGGGGCTGCTGGAGGGCCCTCTGTTCTCCTGACCATACCTCCAAAGCTGTGGGGACAGCTCTGTCCTCCTCTGCCAAGTTCTTTGTGAGTCTCTGGTCACTGAGTTGCAAAACTCAGTGTGTGGCTTTCTGCTTTTCAGTGTCCATTCTCTCGTTCCTCTTTCTCTCTGCAAGCTTTTGTGATGAGGAAATGAACTTGTATTTCAATACTTACTTATATTTCAATACCTCTCTGGCAGTGTTTTCAACCTGTCTTGACCAGAAGCAATTCTGGCTTTATTTGAGCTTTCCTCAGCTAAATATCTCAGATGCTCTCCTGGGAACCTCAGCAATCTCAGATCCTCTTACATTTTCCTGATCCAGCTCATCCTTTGCCTTCTTCCATTGTTCTGCTGCATTATCCTTGATGCACTTCTCCCATTTGTGTTTGAAAATCTGTCCTTCATCCAGGGCATATGTATTGGGCTGACTTGCTTCTTCATCCAGTCTTGACTTTCTCCCAGACTCCTTCTGTGTCCGTGGACATTCTGAATCCGAGTAGAAGCAATGTTTGTCATCGCTGCCTCAGTCTGCAAAGAAGTGTCACTTCTCCTCCATTTCTATCACATGTGTTGTGTGTAATTTCCTTCATCAACT